ACGCAAGAGAGCCTACATCAAGGAGCTGTCCTGATAAGGTCAAAAGTCATTAAATCTCACCTTGTGTTTAGACCACAACAATATGCCCGAAAGAATAACATGTATTGGAAACATCTTGTTTTCAGACAATGTACTGCAGTCTGGAAATGATGCTCCTCGAGTGTTGTTCCAGTCATTATTTTTAAGTATGAGGTGGGAAAATTCAGAGTTTCAAGCTGTGTGGAACGTAGCATAAGTATAAACAAGTTAAAAACATCTGCCAGTGCAGTGCATTTTCTATGAAAACACATCTTAATAACTTATGCAGTGTTGCTTCAGAAGTAAATTTGTCTTGTTTTCATTTATTTTTTAAATTGCTCGATATTTTTACTAAAAAAACAAGCCCAAAAAAAAGACTAATTAATATTTCACTAAGAAGACTTTCTTTGCACTGTATGTGAATAGTTGGTTTCATACAGTACAGACAGTGCATGGGATTGACAACTGCATTTACAAAACAGGCATGACTTTAAATACTAAAATTATCTGTTCACACAAAATTTTACAAAAGCGGATCAAATACTCTCTGTAAGAACAAATACCCAAAATCAGGCTTTCTTGTTCCCTTTTCTCATGATAGCTGTAAATATCACCTGTAACCACAGTGACTGAAGTAAATATCAAAGATGGTGTCTTTTATACCATCTTATTTATTTATTTATTAACTGTGTTTTTCAAAAATGTAAGAGACAGAAGCTGGTTGTCACTCATTTTAACAGTGAAGGTACCGTTAAAAGTTTGGGGTCAGTAAGTTTTATTTTTGAGAGAAATCGATACTTTTATTTGGCAAGGATACATTAAATTGATCAAAAGTGAAATTAAAGAGGTTTCTAATGTTCTATTTAAAAAATGCTTTCTATTTATCAAAGAATCCTGTAAAAAATGTATCATGGTTTCCACAAAAATATTAAGCAGCACCACTGTTTTCAACATTAATAATAATAATAATACTATAAGTAATGGTTCTCGAAAAGCAAATCAGATTTCTAAAGGATCATGTGACACTGAAAGCTGGAGTAATTGCTGCTGAAAAATCTGCTTATTTACAGGAATAAATTACATTTAAAAATGCATTTAAATAGAGAAAATGTAATTTAATGAATGCAGCCTTGGTGAAGATTTTCAAAAACACACACACACAAAAAAAATCTTACCAACCCCAAACTTCTGAACGGTAACTTTGTTTAAAATAAGACTAACAACTGTATAACAGTGAGTGTAGCCAGTGTGTGTGTTTATATTCAATATTATTTCCATTTCTACTCCTCAGAGCCTTCACCTACATAACCATCCGATTTCTCCATTCGCTTTCTCTCACTCCATTCTCTCCATCCGCCCCTCAATCCCTTCATCTTCTCTCTCCCAGTCTCTAGTGAACAGCTGGTGAGGAGAATTCCCACAATCCCTCACACCGTAATCTCCCTCCCTTTGCTCACAAGTCCATCTATCAAAAGAGCCTTTATTCACCCCTGCTTCTGCTGCTGTGTGTGTGTGCTGGGTTATGTCTGATGCCACTGTGTGCATTATAGCGGTGTAGAAAGTTTCGTAAAATAAAATAAAATTAAATGAAATAAACACCAGCCACAGTGTCCATAGGGTTTTTATGAAGATCATATGTTTGTAAGACTCACTTTGAATGGTTCAACATTTACACAAGGTCAGGTGTGGGTTTGTTTGTGTGTTTTCATGTATATGTGTGTGTTTTTGTGTACTTAATTACTTTAAGCACAGCTGCAGATGCCAGAAGGTTAATGAATCACTGTGTTAAACCGTCTATATCCCATTAACCTGAGACCTACAGCGTGATCTTTATCAGGAGAATATTGGCAGACACACACACACACACACACACACAGAAAGAGAGAGAGAGAGAGAGAGAGATCGCTCAGATCAAGCCGACACATGCAGAAATTGAAATAGAGCTGGAAATTCAAACGGACACATTCACAGGGATAAACACAGACTCTACGCTGTGACACACACACATGGTACACACCAACCGTAGTGTGGCACGGGGCTCTGATTGCTGACCTAGTTTGGGAGGGACCTGTCACTACACATAGCCATCAGATGGCAAACTCACTGGCTCAGCATGGCAGACACACACAAACACTCAACCACAAACACTGAACTTTGGAACTCAGAGAGCAGCGGCATCTGTGTGAAATTAAATAGTACGGTTTTCATTTTGACATGGCTTCAAACTGTGCAGCAAGGTATGCTAAATGTTGCTGCTAAAATATGTAAATGTAATGGCATGCGTTAAAGTGTGCGGAAAACCTCTCACATTTCTTCATTGCAAGTAATATGGGGCACCAAATGTTGTGGGTTGCTAACTGGCATCCCAGTATTAACAACAAAAAACGGACCAATTTAAGCAACAAAAAGTATTTCTTTCAACTGTTTTGAACAGTACAAAAATTTATGAATAATTTTATATTAAAAGTTTTACTAATTACTGGTTACACTTTATTTTAAGGTGTCCTTGTTACAGTGTAATTATAGATTTAAGTACTGAGTAATATTAATTAAGCATATGATCACTATATGGTTAGGGTTCGGCTTAGGGCTATTTGCATGTAATTATGCATAATTTATTGTTCTTATAATAGTAAGTACATGTAACGTGCAACAAAGACACCTTAAAATAAAGTGTTACCTTATTACTTAATACATTTATCAGCAAATAAATATTATAAAAAAATTTAAATATTCAAATACATTCAAGTGGTGAAATGATAAAAAATTTTCTCTTAAACCAAAATATTATATTAACATCTAAAATTCAAGTACAAATCTTAAAAAACAACAACAACATAAATCAAATTGCAAATTTTATAACTGAATCTTAAATCAAAATCTTGTGTTAAATCTAAATGTACATTTAATTTTAACTCTTAAGATTCAAATTAAAGTCTTAAATCTTAAATGGAAGTACAAATCTAGCATAAATCTAAATCTTAAAAATGAATCTAAATGCAAATTTTAAATCTGAATCCTAAACCAAAAATCTTAAGTGATAAATCTAAATGTAATCTGAATCTTACATTTACAAATCTGTATTCAAATGGTAAATTTGAGTCTTAAATTAAAATATAATAATTTAAATCTTAAATCTAAAAAGAAAATCTGAATTAAAATGTTAAATTAGAATCTTAATTCAAAATATTAAGTGTTAAAGATAAATGTAATCTAAATCTTAAATCTTAAATACAAGTACAAATATAAAAAATCTATATAATCATTTAAATAGGAGTAAAATCTTAATTAAAATGTTTAATCTAAATTTTAGTTTTAAGTGTTAAAATCTAAATGTAAAATGTTACATCTGAATCTTAAATCTATGTATAAATTCATGTCTTAAATATAAATCTAAATGATGTTGCTCTCATTTTGCTGCATCATGCCACACATTTGCAGTATCACACTGTGACATCAAGGTGGTGGTGGGGGGAATCCAGTGTGACAAACACACACACACACACGCATGCAAACTCTGATGCGCCAAAGTCGAAATATCAACGAGTAGCTGTAGAACAGGCAAACAAAGCCGTACATGTACAGTAAGTCCACGGTAATACACTTTTAATTTTACCATTAACTCAGACAGTGATGCAACGAGGCAAGCGCTCACACTACTAATGTGAATTATTGACTATGTGAGAATGTGCTTTGGAGAATATGATGGTAAAGGGGAGGTTTTGGAGAGGGATTCTAATGCAGTGGGTTTTTTAAACGCTTTTTAGGGTAAAGTGCTCCCCTGGGAACTCAGTTAGCGCCCAGTGATCAAAGTTTTGACAAAAGAGCTCGGAGCGTTTGATACACTCTGATACACACTCAGTGGGGAGAGGATCTCAGCTTCAAACAGTGCAGATCACAGGGGGAAACAAGCACCAGCTAAAAGCATCACTCGCAGCCTCACACAACAGGACGAAACCACAAAAACCTACACTAATAAGCGGTGCTTTTATCCTATATTAAAACACAAACGGTTTACATCCGTGATTTATGACAGCGCAGACACCATACGTGGATATTTGGGAAGGGAAACGCACAGTGTGTACACTGTTGACCCATCCCTTACACCTAAACCCACCCTTAAACCTACCTCCAAACCTGTCTCTAACCTTACCCCTATCCCACCTCAATAGCAGCAAAATTGTTTTGCAATACAATATGAACACAATAAGTACACTGTATTTATTTTTTGATGTACGTACATAGTAGTTAAGGCCACTTGATATAAAGATATAATATCTTTTACAAAAAGTTTGGGAAAGGTTGTGTGCTATAAAAATCCTACAAAACTACAAGATAAAATTATTGCATGTGATATTTGTTCCCATGACCAATTAATTCATGGCCACTTTTTATTTATTTGTTCCCTCATTTCAGTGATTTTGTGGCCACATTTACCATTCCTTTCCCTTGTTTTTGTTAATTTATGAGTACTTTGTTGTAATTTGTTCTCTCATTTAAATTTAGTTAAAACATGGTATCGATTGTACTAAAATGAGGGAACAAATTAGTACAACATGGCCATGATTTTACTTAAAATGAAGGAAACAAATTAAGCTGTGGGAATATCTTTTTTTTTTTTTTTTGGTGAAAAATTGATTTGTGGGTTGGATGAGTGGATAAATTATTCGTAGCATTTAACGAGTGCACAAGATAACACAACATGTGGGATGAATTTGGCTTGTGGGCTGATAGTTTAAGAACAGTTATAATAGAGCACAAAAAAAACCAAGAAAGTGAAAATTAAGATTATGAAACATGACCGGGCTTGAACCTGTCTTATCAACTTAAGCACCAAGGAACATTATGCCTCGAACACGTGCTGCTAACTTCTGCATAGCTAGATGGAGAGGACCCAAAATACGGAAATGATTCCCAGAGATAAATGCTGTTGTCCAAAACTGTACTATATTGCGATATTGGTTAACTTAACACACACTTACCTATGATGTAATAGTCTCGTAAGTTCTTGAATTCGTGACCCCACAGGTTGGGCGAGTACTCCTGGAACTTGATGGTAAACCTCATATCGCTGTTGGGTTTGTCACAGGTGAGCAACAGGTTCGGGGCGCCCATCACCTCACACCTGTCGGCCTGCTCTCGTGAGGACACCAGGTACAGTTTATAATACTCATACTCAGGAGGAGAGTTCGACCCTGATGGACTCGTGGCAGGACAAACGAGGTCCAAACGATCCCCTATTTGAGGGTAGAGTATGTAGCCCCTCTCATCTCCAAACCTGTAGAATTAGAGAAAGAGAGATGAAGTTTGAGTGACACACAAATGAGAAATGATCGTTTCCATGGAAACTGAGATTGACAGTTTGATATTTGCTTGCGTGATCGTGCATATGAAACCGCAAGGCCTGTCTGAAGCTGAAACTGCCCTTTTGTTCATACATTTTTTACTCAAAATGTAAACATACATGCCCTTTGGTTCAGGAGAGTGTGTGAGAGGGCATATGTGTGGTTTTGCTTGCCAATGTGATGAAAATGAGCATATGTGGGGATAATGTTTTGCCTACAATAGTAAAACCCGAAATCGCTTAGATTGTGGGGACGAGTCAATGGCAAACCTGTATGACTTTCCTCTGTGAAAAACAAAAGAAGATATTTCGAAGAATCGTACTGGTCTGATGTTATCTATTTTGTTATTTTAATTCATGTTGTTCTGCATTGCACGTTGGTTCTGGAAGAGCGTTGTCTCGTTTCACTGTACTGTATATGGTTGAAATGATAATAAAAGCCTACTTGACTTGAATTGTGATGAATGGAGACTATCAAGCTGCAAAAAGGACACAAAAAGTATCATAAAACTAATTCATACAACTTGTGCACTCAAGTTTCACTCAATTCAAAGTCTTCTGAGGTCATACAACTGCTTTATGTGAGAAACTGAATGAAATTTCAAAGTCATTATTCATCCCTTCAGCAAGATGTTAACTGCTGTGTCCGGATCATTGAGTCAATGAACTTGAGAACTCGATCATTTTCATACCTGAATGAATCATTCAGAACCAGGGGCTGAATTCAGGAAAATCTTCTTAAAGACGTTAAGAAATGGCAATAAATTTGTAAGAATGTTCCAACAGTAAGAGCAATTTTTGACAAATTCTTATGAAGTTCTTAAATATGGTGGTTTTTGCCAAAGACCTGCTGATCAACTCAATGAAAATAACCTCAAAGTCTGTCTTTTTGTAATGTGTGCAGATAATAATCATTTGCAAACAATAGTCTGAAAAGTAGAGCAGAGGAAAGAAAAAACACATTCCGTGTGAATGGCCCCTCAAAAAATGTTATATACAAAACATTCATAATTTTATTCTTAAGTTAGGAAATAGAATAAAAATGAGCTGTTAAGAAGAATTTTACTCTTAAGAATATTTTGGGAATGCGGCCTCTGGTTGGTTAACATGAATCAACAGATTCATTTGAAATGAACTCAAAAAAAACTACACTATTACTTTCATGAACCTACTTAAGTAATGGAGAATTTTTATGGTACATTTTTGCTATTGTGGAGCTTGGCAACCTCAGTCTTCATAATTTTTTTTTTTTATACTTTAGTGTCCCGCAGAATAATGTCTGTTATATGGATCTGAAACAAAATGTTAATTTTTGGATGGAATATTCCTTTGATAAATACTAAATAATGTCTTAATGAGAAACTAAAAATGCAGTAAGATTTCTGTGAGGGTTCAAAAATAAAATAAATAAATAAAACTTTGTAAAAAACCAAGTAATCAATAGAAAACGAAGACCTTGATAGAAAACCAAAAAGTGTGTGACGAGAGCATATCCAAATATATGAACGCTATCATAAAAACGTAACTGAGCATAACAAACAATTATTCAGTATTTTAATAGTACTTTCTCAGTCAAACCAAGACCAATGCTGAAACACAGCACTTAAAAGCTCCTATACCTTCATCCTCTTGAGGAAAGAAAGCTCTGGCATTTAGCAGACTGACATTTTAGCTCTATTCAGAGACAGAGTCTTGTTCTGAAGTTGAAAATTTACCTCACAAATAACACCTCTGCAGATAGAAGGTATTTTGCAGACCCCTCTCTCCTCACGCTAAGTGTACAAAGCTTGACATTTCCATCAGGCTGAGACATCCATGCAAAACTCCAATTAACCACACCACAGTTTGTAAGACACCTTTGCACACACAGACAGATAGATCCAAAAAGGCTTCCTAGTCAGGAAAAAAAAAAAAGAAATCATGTGAGAGCAAAAGCACCTGATCTGTGGATCAACACATATCCATTAACACACTGAGATTAGGCCTCAATCAGCCATCCGTCACAGACGCAACAAAAGTCAATGTGATCTCTGCCTTTTCATTAGCTACTAACATATGGGATCCGACTGAGGGTAAATATCGTAATCTGTTAATCAGACGCTTTAATTTATCAAAACAAAAACTCACTCATCACTGTTTGGTGAAAAACACACACTAGGTCTTCGGTGTTTACATTGTGCTGCGCATCGAACCAAGCAATTTACCAGAGGCTGTGAATTATGATGACCACACACACACTCTCTGACCATATAAGATGAACTGCGTTCATCAGACTGTCTGTATGTTTAGTTATTTCTACAGACTTGTTTAATCCTTTTGTCTCTGATATATTTACCTAACTGTGTCTGATCGAAGACACAGGAGGGCAATCTGGCATTCTTTCCTGGTTAAACCGGATTGTGATTGGTTAGTGAACTCACGCCACACCGTTTAGATAAAGGTTAGAGGTGGTCGACCTGATTACATGCTGAGGCGTTGCGGGTTTCTGTGCTGGTTTGATGCTTCTCATTGGCGGGTTTGAATCCCAGGGCTCCTTTACACTTGCACTGCAGAGATGGAGTGACTTTGGGCCGCCCTTGAGTTTCTAAGGCCGTCGGAAGCTTTGAATCCAGACTCTGTTGTTCCCTTTCGCTCATCAACAAACCTCCACTTCACTCGCACCAACCCAATATCTTCCCATGAGCCCACGCTGGGCTTTCCAAAGTTTGTTTTCAGCAAGATAATGCAACTAAAAAAGGAGATGAAAATCATAATTTCAAATTCATGCATTCTCTTTCTAAGTGTATTATGTTGTTTGACAAACGCAGACGAGGACTTTGTCTGTGCAGAATGATAGAATTTAGAGATGCAAAGACAAAAAAGGACTGTAACCGATAAATGGCTGATAATAAAGTTTTACACTATTATGTTTAAATTAAAAAGAAGGAAATCTTAAAATGCTTTAAGCGAATTTAAGCATCACAAAATTGTGAGAGTTGAGAGTTAATTTTGAGAGTTGCTAAAGATTACTTAATTAATGATTAAATTATTAGTTTAAATTTAAATGTAACTTTAAATGAGTGTAAGATGATGACAACAGCAGTATAAATGTGAAAAAAGGGAAATGAGCCAGAACAATTAAATATCGACTGAAAATGAATAAATTAAACATTTCTACAACTGACATAGTAACAATATATTGTGCATCCCTAATAAAAGTTATATACACCGCAAAATGTATTATTTGTGTATTATTTTATACCACTTTAATAGAACACATCATGAAAAAGAATTTTCCTTGCTGTTTCAAAAATAAATACATTCAAAAGTTCGATGAACTATATAGACGTATAAGCTGCAAAATGGATCAATCTGAAACTGACACTGTATTAAGGTTGACAACCATGAGCACATAACCACTCACAAGTACAAATAAACAAGGGCTGTCAATTTAACAAGTCAGTGTGATTTAATAAAATATGAATCATATCCATAAGAAATTCAAGCTTGAAGGAGCCGTTCACACAGGACGGGTTCCTGCATTCAAATTTAGGGATCTCTAGACGCATTTTTCAAAGCTGATGTACTTTTTACTTGACACGCCATCTAAAAAAAGCTCATGCTGCCTCAAATCGCCAACTCTCATTGTAAATGAATGATTTCTGTCTGCTGCAAACAGAGATAGTGTAGAAAATGGTCGTGAAATACTAAATTATGACTTTCTGGTGCACTACATGTAGTCAAAAGTGTAGAAAATGGCCCCTTCAATTTCACAACAGAGGGTGCATTTCATCTTACTTGTGTTTTCTTTAAGCTCAAGCAAATGGATACGTTAACCTCAAATCCTGCCACCCTGCAGATCCCAACTGTTTTCCTTCAGTCCAAACGGAAGACATTTCTATCAGAGAGCTGTCAGACCCCTGCTGAGACATACGAAGCACGGCGGCCGTTACCAAGACCACCCCAGAATAACAAAGGACAAAAATCAAATCTCAGCATAATACAATTTACTGATGGAAGCAAACGTAACATGCTGCATCTGTTTCTGACTACACTACACTGATTTTTCAAAGGCTTTTGAACATGTCAAAATTGCTCTGTGATGTGATCACCAGTTGACGAGCTGAATGCATTTGTCTTCCCTCCGCAGGAAAAAACAGCTTTGCTTGTTGAAAGAACTGACAGTCTTTGTCTGTTAGTGGTTCCAGTGAAAACGCAAATATTTTGTGTTCTTTGCAGTGGTTATCAGGCCTGACAATGCTAAATTTCCTCTCGGTTTGGTGTTGGTGGATTATGCAAACATATTTATTCATGGAAAAGGTGATTTTTGGTTTAAATTCGAGTCGAATCAGACCTCCTTTTGCACTGAAGTAAACACACAATCAAAGTGAAAAATGCCTACATATGTATTGCGGATGCTCTTTCCTTGAGCTCCATGAACTCTGATTTTAATACACCGCCATCTGAAACTGATCTTTTTATGTTTGAAATATGCGGCATGAAATGCCGATGTTTATCTTCATTTACGTTGAAATTTAAGACAGGCAGAAAAGGCATTCTTACATGAGAAAAAAAAAAACAGCTCCGCAACCTAGACATAAACTCTCACAAATCAGTGATTAAGCACTTTAAATGTAAATGTCACAGAGCAGGATCAGAATTCACAAGGCTCATATTCATTATCGATTCACCACTGCAGAATCACGGGCATTAAAGTTTCCTCATGCCACACTAAAGCAACAAAAGATGGAGCTGAAACTCAAACAAACTTGAACCACCGATTACACTTCACCTCACTGCAGCAATGTGGAAAATGACCTCGATTTAGAGTTTATATAATGATACTATTTTATTAAAATTTTAGTAATTGCACAAAACTGGGGATATTTCCTCTCTTTCCCTGGTTTTCTAAGAACGTGTGTGTGCATGTGTGTGTGTGTGTGAGCATCCCCTAA